TCGGGGATGAAGAAATCGCATGCCTCGCATGCCTTGGTGAAGAGGACGGGGGCCTCGGCAGAGATCATATGGACGTCATCGTCGGCCTTCATGATCTTCTTGGTGTAAAAAAAGGGGGAGCTGGTGATGATGATTTCTGTCATGTGGGAAGTGTGGGAACAGCGGCTACCAACATGATTCAATACACCTTTTTCTTCCCCATATTGATCCCGATCTTAGAAAATTTAGGGGGGGGGGAGAGAGAGCTAGAGTGTGTGTGTGTGTGTGTTCTGGGTTTGGCTTTGGATCTTGGGTTTTTGCAGATTTTGCAGATTTTTGCAGATTTTGTAGATTCATAGTGGTGAGGTTTGATGAAAAAATGAAAGAGTATCGACATAGTTTTTTGTGTCGATTCCCACAGACGGCGCCAAATGTTGATGCACAAAACTGAAGGTCTAGGAACAACGTAAATCCGACCGTGAATCTGCAAGAAATGTAAATAACACAAGATGTATCGTGGTTCACCCCAATGTTTAGGCTACGTTCACACTTATATTGTATTTCTCTGAGAGGATTGTGAGAGGAGAGAAAGAGCTTTTCTGTGAAGATGAGAGCTCTAAGAGGGTGAGGGTATGGCTTAGGAATTGGCCTCCGGAAGTGAGGAAGCTCCCCCTAATTGTAAGGGTGATGGGTCCTTTTATAGAATAAGGACTTCTCACTTATTACATATTTGCTCATTCCTTTATTACATAATTACATTTAAGTCCCCTGAGTATTTATACGAGATCTAAATACGGAGGCCCTAAGTATGGTATAAACCAATATAATTCCAAGTCCAAGAGAGAATCTACATCAAAGTTGGAGATCTCTGAACCTGCTGCCCTTTCCTGCGAGCAGCCCAGCAGGTGTGGGGGCATTTGTGGAGCCAAAAATAATCACAAGGCGACACGTGGGGTTTTTGGATAAAAGAGGATAAAAATACCCTTGAGGCATATTGGGATTCCTACGCGCGAGCAATGGGCAATCATCCATCAACCAAGTCAAAAGTGCCCAAAATAGGTAACAATTCAAAATCTATCTCATTCATCCTCATCAAATCCCTTCTACAACGTAACTCCCAAAACCTATTTTATTCCATATATTTTCTACCTCATTTTCCCTTTTTTAGCCAATCAATTAGGTAATTATAACTCCCAAATTATTTCTTTCAAATTATGTTAATTAGTCAATTAATGGATTTATTACCTAATTAATCTATTAATGGCTAATTAGCTACAAATTACAGCCACAAAACACCCCAAATGGCTGGTCCCTATTCTCCTAACAGGGCCGACCATATCCCTATAAATAGCTCTCCATTCTCTCCAAAAACCACTTGGAAGTCTCTTGCTAAAATTCTCAAACACTTTCTCTCTAAATTCTAACTTTGGCATCGGAGGTTCTTCGGCCAAAGCCCCACCCCTCCCCCCCCCCCCCCAATTCATCGTGAGCACGTGAGGCTTTTGGCCTTGACCAAATGTGTTAATTGTTTTGTAGGTGCAATTTTGTCCAAAATCAAGGAAGAAGAAATTTGCATCCACATTCAACAGTCAAATCCAAGGAAAAATGGGATGCTATATCAGTTGAATGAATCGTTTTTGCAGTCCTACTTCTTCATAGTTTAATGTGCCAGAAGTGGAAAAATGCCAAATTTCAATGAAATTTTCTAACCAATTCAAAGTTTCCTAGAACTATATATCGATGAAAACTTGATGAACAAAATAGAAATAAGAACAAAAGATCCAACATCTCAACACTATGTGATGCAGTTTAATATAATAATGGAAGCACAAAACCACACTATGCTTCCACTTGAGTGATTAGCGGGTCGTTTACTTGTATAACGAAAGGTGATGCTTGACCCGTACCTTTGTCAGTTTGTTTCATAGATTTAGCCACCAACAAGCAATGCCCTAATAATAAAATGAGCAGCCTTTCTAACTAGTTAGGTAAATAACGTCTTGTTGATCAATCTATGCTATTAAAAGCCTAAACCCCACCAATACTTAGGTACCAAAGCCGAGCTGAAAAACAAAAAGCTGAGTCGAGTTCTTCTCTTCTTCACAAAACTGAACTGCCCTAGAAAAAAACGGTTGTCTTGCTCTCCTACTCCACATTGGCAAGGACCCCATAATTAATTAAACTTGTTGCAAGTAGTTTAACAAGAGTATAGTACGTGGGAATAACTGCACAAACATTTTTTCTTGATTTCCCCCACACCCAATCTATAGTTTTATCATATATTGATCCCCTCTTCTATATAAATGTTATAGAAACCATGCAACAGTATCAACACACTCGAACATAACACAAACACTTAAATTAGCTACACAGCCTACTCTTCTCACAGCCTTACACACAAACGAATACAAGAGATTCAATTCAACTGAGGAGAATGTCTAGCGCAGCAGTTGCCGGGATTATGTTTCAGTGTGTGTTTGAAGGAAGCCTTTCAATGCAGGACACAGAGATTGAGCGAAGGCCTTACCATAAAAACTCCAGCTGCGCTCTACACTCCAAGGCCGGTGTTTGCTCCAATGCTTGTCAAAGGAACATTTCCTTTCCCAAGAAACAGTCGTGGAGCGATCGTTTCCTGTGCATGCAAGCATCAGCAACTTCCAAATTTTCTTCTCCTCTTGTTGGAGACTTGTCCACATCCACATCCACCAGAAACAGCGACATTGTGACTGGGGTTCATAATCCGGCCTTGCCACATAGGCGATAGATCTGGATTGATCTCATGCACGATGATTACTGGTGAGTTAGAACTTAGAATTAAAAGATTAATCAGAAGTGAGAAGCAAATTTTTTTGTTAGTTTCTCACCATCTTATTCTTGTCCATAATTGATTTGGAGAAGTTGGTGCTTGTAGGTTAGTTTAATTTCTACTACCTTCGTCCGGATGTAAATTCAACTCAGTACATATTCCTGTAATTAAACATTGTCACCTTTGCTCGATGCTACTGAAACTGCATACATACAACAAACTTAATCGACCAGAGAATCTGACTGTCTGAGTTCATATGCTCTTCTCTTCCCGATCGATTCTGCACTCCCCTTTTATGTTTGGTTGCATTCTACATTCCACATTCTACAATTTACTTCATCGTTTTGCCTCTAGTTTTCTTTGCACAAAATTTTTTAGATAAGCGGTTCTAAAAGGCGCCGAGTGCTAGTCAGTTAGCAGGTAGGGGCCTAACGCCTAAGCGTCTAGGCAAGGCCTAGGTGAATTTTTTAATTTTAATTAAATTTATTATATAACATATAAATAAATGTTTACTCATATTTAAAAATATATATATACATATATATATAATTGTATATTCATAAATTACAAAATAAAATGACATAAGATTAAGTATTAGAATAAATAGAAAACATGGGGAACAATAAAAGAGATGAAAATACAAGAGGTGAGAAAAGGAGGTTATTTTGGTGGCAATGAAAATACAAGGTAGATTACTTCGATTTATGTTCTGTTTTGTTATGTAAAGGAGAAATATAGATAAGAGATGAAAATACAAGAGAACATGTAAAAATTAGGGGGAAAAGAGGTCATGAGAAGATGCAAAATAAATAGCCTTGAATAAAAAATGATTGTTTTAATTTTAATTATTTAATTTTGTCTGGTTTTTTATTTTTATTCTAAAAATCATTTTATATATTTTATCTATTTCCTTCCCTTCTCTGATTAACTACAACAGTTAAATCCACTAGTTGGAATTGAACTTTCTGCAGATGTTTAACATTGTGGTTTTGAACATCACCTAAATAATGAAGCACTCAATTAACCGACTTTTTTTACAATCAAAACTTTTTCTATTTAAGCAAAGACACATATTGCCAAAATAAAATGGGAAAAGTTTGAAACCGAAAGAAAGGTACGTAATGTAAAAACTGCATCCCAATTTCAGCTTGCATTCACTACAAAATAACTCAAAACAACAAAATTGTAGGATTAAATCAGAGCAATACAGTTAGATTACTCTCAATAAGTGATCGAATAGTTATCACAGAGAGAGAGAGAGAGAGAGAGAGAGAGAGAGATTGCATTACAGATGACGTAGTAGGAGCATTAAAAATTCAAGATTTTATATTGATGGCTTCAAAGAAATTAGTTTGCCGGACTCACAGAAAAGCATTGCAGATTTTGTTTCCACTTCTCTCTCACTGTAAGGGCCAACGGGATGCCAAACGTGGGTCAGGCAACAGATATTGTTGAGGAAAAACTTAGAGTACACAACTCTAACACAAGTGTTGGCGAGACAACACAAGTAAACAAATTACTTGTATTACACTCACAAAATATTACAACACAACAAACTCTCAAGGACACACTTGAGAAGCAATGACACTCACTCACCTTGTAGAGACAAATTCTAGACCACTCACACTCCTACAAGACTATTCTTGCTTCTCACTCTCACTTGGTTGCCTACTACTTCTTTACAAGCTTACTTGATTGTTGCTTGTTTGATTGCTTACTTATATTACTATTGGAAGTAGGGTTCAATATTGGAAGAATAATGCAAGTAGGGTTCGTAGGGTTCAATGTTGGAAGAATAATGCAACCCTTTGTTTAAGTTTTTTATGGATAACAGCTCAGCTTAGTGCTAGTGTTAGCTGGTTGTTATTCCACCAGCTTTGTAAAGCTAATTAGTAGTTTAAGTTAGAGAGAGTGGAGGACACAATGATGCTTGCTTAGCTGCCAGGAGGTCACAATGATGCTGCCATTATCCTCCACCTTTCCATCTCCACTCTCCTTCCCGTTTTCTTATCATATATATGTTGGACCTTGTAGCTGATTCATATTATGAAATATACATTAAAATTCAATATGGTATCAGAGCAGGAAAAATAACCTGCTGCTGCATTCCTACCATCTCCAATATGGCGGAAGAAAATTCTTCTTCGTTTGAAGCTGAAAATTCCCAGACATTTTGACACGCCCCGATCCCGATGTCCTAGGGACAAAGGGATGGTCACGTGCTGGCCGACACCCGAAGGGTGACGAAAGCCATTTTATTGAGTGCAAATGCTGACAACAAGGGATAGATAAGACTTATAAATATAAGAGAATAAAGAATATGTATTTAAGGAACGTGTTCAGAGCACACATCTAATCTAGAACATTAAAAGAATTAATATAAAAATTGAATGAACACAGAAGTGGGTCCTACACCGAGAGGACTCGAAGATACCGATGCGGAAGTGCCTGGATGCCGGGATTGTATGCCTCGATCCTAAATCCTGAAGGGGGCGCAAAACAAACATGAGTGGACCAAGTTGATATATATATAGTAAAACAGTTATCAACGTACTAACCCCCAGGTTTTATGAAAACACATATATAATGATAACCATAGGTTTTCCGAAACCTAGCATGATGTGCAGTGTCTCAAATCATAACTTGTATATATAATAATCACTAGTGAATTGTCCGATAACCCCCAGGCCCCATGCCGGCTCCCCGTCTCTGAGCAGACAGTCAGAGGAAAATACACTTCAGGCCCCATGCCGGCTCCCCGTCCCTGTGCTAAATAGCCAGAGGAAACACACTCCAGGCCCTATGCCAACACCAAACCGTCGCCCGGGACGGACCGGAATCTATCCCTACGTCCCGTAGCGGAAAGGACTACTAGGTAAGTACAAAACCATTGAACATACATATATTGAAAAACAACTTCATAGTATAAAGTCATCCATCATCTATACTATAAAGAGGTGTTCGAAACATGTTCTAAATATCATATCGTCATCCATCGGATATTCTATAAGAACACGGGTTATAGGAAAAATAGTAATAATTCAAAGTAGCCTCAGTAAGCATGTTATCTCAAAACGTTTCATAAAACGTAATCATTAAATCATGCCTTTCATGTATGCATTTCTACTATTAAAACATGCTTTTGAAGGGGTCCACTCACAGTACTTCGCCGTCGAAAAGTCACGCAGCTAGCGAAGACAGAAACGCCACTATAATTGCCCCTAAGCACATAAAGGGGTCTAATTAATAAAACTCTAGCATAACAATTGAATTTGAGAAAACGGACGTCGGAAACGGATTTAGGACGTCGAATTACCCTAAGAAGGTTTCCGGATAAATTTCTTAAAAGTCCATAGAATATTCCTTGAATATTCCCTGACGGAATATTCCCCAAAAATGTTTGGATCGGTTAGGGTTTAGGGTTTTAGGACTTGGGTTAGGATTAGGTTAAGGGCTAAAAGGGTTTGGGTTTTAAAAGGAAAATGAGTTTGGATTTAAGGCTTTCACAAATGAGGCCCAAGGCCTTTTAAACAAATAATAACAATATACTAAAAACAAAATAAAATAAAAGGAGGTTGGGTTGGGTTTCTAGGTAAAGGGGTTTAGGTTGGTTTTGGGTTGGGCTCGGCAGAAAGGCCCAAAGGCCTTGGGTTGGTGGGTCGCCGGATTCAAAGGGAGGAGAAGGCCGGAATTCGGCCGGAAAACTACCCAACTTTAAACGGCCATAACTTTGTCACTACTCAACGAAATCAAGCGAGACAAAAATGAAAGTTGTAGCCCTGGAAGAGACGAAGAGAATGATACCTCACACGACGTCTAACTTGCCGTGGTTTGGCCGGAAATTGCCTCGAAAGCCTCGGAGGTCGCCGGAAACTGGGTAAGATTTCAAATGAGTATAACTTCTTCAATACTCAATGAAATTGAGTGAAACAAAAAGGAAAGTTATAGTACTCGACGAGACGAAGAGATTGATACCTTGCACGCCGGCCAACTCGTCGTGGTTTGGCCGGAAATTCTCTCGAAAGTCGTCGGAGATGGGTGTGCCTACACCCGGCTTCGATTTCGTCCTATAACCTCCAAAAATCACACAATAAACTCAATTCAAACTCAACCCACAAGATTCTTGGACGAAATAAGGGAGATTTGAGGCTTACCTCACCGGGAAAATAGGAACTCGCCGGAGTTCCTTTCCGGGTTTCCTGGGGTTGCAGCACGGGACAGAGGGGGAGAAGGACGAGATGGCGACGATGAGGGGTCTTCCTCGCGCAGGGGAGATGGGTGCGTGCGTGCGTTCGCGGTTGAGAAGAGAGATGAGGGAGCTGAGAGAGGTCCGAGAGAAGGGAGAGAAAGACATGACAGACAGAAAAAGAAGAAGAAGAAGGAAGGGGGGTTCACGGGGGGGACAGAGAGAGAAGAAAGAGAAATTGTTTGGGGGGCTGCCACGTGGCAGATTTAGAAAGAAAAGGGATCCAATGCTTTGGATCCTGATTTGGTAGACAAAAAGGATGAAATATATATATTTAAAACATTTAGGGGTAATTACAAACATAAATCTTTATAATTAGGGGGCGGGTGTTACAATCTTCCCCCCTTATAAAAATTTCGTCCCCGAAATTTAAAATCACCTACTAAACTGAAATACTCGTAAATAGTAAAAAGAATATATGTATAAAGAGAAATCAAGTCAGAGTGGGTGCATCAAAGAGAATATGCCACACCGTCGCGAGCGGGTTGCAAAATCCTCTATCACGCCTCCAAACTCTTACTTTCATCCCCATCAGTGTAAAAATAGAAAACATACTTTAATAAGATATAAGGTCGAAAACATATATTGACGTAAGGGTCAAAAATAAGTACATAAAATACGATAACGTCAAAATAGAGATGTACTAACATATAGATCAAAATTTTGAGCTGAACTTAAAATTGAAAACAGAAAACACTTTCCTCAAAACATTTGTAACACCAAAAACAAATAACCAAAGTAAATGAAGTTAAAATACTTATACTGAAAACCAAAACTGAAAGATGAGAGTGGGTCTCGCCCAAGAATTCGTAACTTCACGTACTCCGAGAAAAGATGAGTCTTTGGGTCGAGTCCCAAGAATATCAATTCCGAATCTGCATCAGCTGCTGTAGACGAATCTTCTTTTCCACTTGCTTAACGAACCCAACGAATAAGTTATCGATACAACAGTCGGCCGCCCGTGATATCGATCACATATTTGTTGTCTCAATAAACAAGCAGTAATTTCCTGAGGGTGCACAATTTTTCACGTCGTAAATTCGATCCTTCGAATACCAGTTCACAATACTCATCTGCTAACCAGTGTTGCATGTAGAAACCCTCGTACCATGTTGCAAAAGTGCCATACTCAAACCGAACAAAATAAGAACTGTCGTCGTAAAACTTTATCCAGCACCAAGCATCCTATTTTCCTCAGTTCTTCCAAATGTGACCAACTACTCCAAAGTTTCACCAGTAAAGAACCCATTTGAAAACTGTACCTTGGGATTCAAGAGAAGTGGCTACCATGTTAGTAGTAGACTCAAAAGCTCGAACCAAGCAAGCAGAAAATGAGAAGTCATCTTCCTCGACACGCAATATCTCTTGGGAGTTGTTGTAATGCTCAATCCACCTCTCCATTTTTGCTTAGTTGCAGACTTCTAGTCAAACAAAGTCAAAGTTGGAGGAAAGAAGAAGGACTCTCAAGTGATCAACGTAAAAACCCCATGAGAGCACACCCCATTCAAAGGAAGTTTAAAGATCTTCCGATTCTCGCCTCAACAGCGCTGTGGTGCCATTCCAGAGTGCACCAAACAATCTGCTAGAAGTGATTCAACATCCACATACTCACAAGAATAAGGTTCAGAAGTGAAGCAGTGGAAATATGCGTTGAGACGAACACATATCGTTGGAAAATAACCGATGTGATGCCTATGAATTCTAGTAAGATGGTGATACAATATGCTGACCTTCTGTACTAAAACCTTCAACCAACTCTTACTAAAAGACCGCTCAAACCTCACGCCCATGTGCTCTCGAACCGAAGGATCCTGGTGAGAGGTAGTGGAAAGCTGCGTTGAGGCGAACACATCACATCATCGAAAAGGTCTACTAAAGTAAGATATGATGGTTATGAATTGTAGCAAAATAATGAATGGTGACCATTCAATTAGCGTGAAGATAGTGATGAAATATGCTACTCATCTGCACCACAATCTTTCACCGGTCTCTTACCAAAAGACGACTCAAACTTCACACCCACGAGGAACTCTTTCTGGTAAGTCTGGTAAGCTTGTCAAAATATTATACTCCCACCATTCCTGTCCAAAACGATAAGAATTGGGTGCACACTTCCGCCGAATCGATCGATCGTGAATTCCTCACTGATTGAGCGAGAAACCATGTCTAGAAGGCTAAAAGAACACTCAAGAATTTGAGAGTCAAAACAGTCCATTAAAACTGGAGTACAAGATATCGAGATTTAAACCAGAAACCATGCTGAGAACAAACTTTTTTTTTTTTTTTTTTTTTCTACCCGTCGTGTAATGTTCCGGCATGATCCAGTTTTACTTTGAGAAACAAACAAGCAAAGGAAAATGAAGATGCAGAAATAGAAGTCATTGTTTATGATTATTTGGCTAATCATCACAATAAGGTTGATTGGTTTCTTAGCCAAAAGAAAATAGGTCTAAGCTCAAAAATAGATAAGAACTGTTAATAAGATTTGACGAGGCCAAAAAACTTGAATTAGATCTTGGAAATGCTCGACTCAAATAGATGCTCATCATAAGCTTTTTATTAAGATTCACTTGAGACATTTCGCAATTCACAATACTTTGTGAGAGTTGTTTCAAAGTTCAAAAATTAAACATAGAACCTCTGAATCAACAGAATGACGATGAAGAAAGATACGAAGCAGCCCGCGTATGCATGCAGTGACACGATTGGCTACCTTAAAGTGATGCCTCTAAGCAACCAAAGCTCAATGAGTCCAGAGAAGTTTAGAGTAAAGCTCGATCTTCGTACAATGATGAATATGGAGAGTCTCAAGCCATTACACTGAAAATTACAAGGCTAAACAGTTAACGGACAAGAGCACTGGTCAGTTGGGCTACAAGCAAGAGGTTAAGTTTACTTCTACTGAAAAGTACGAGGACAAGGGGCATTTTACCACTGAGTACCAGACTCAGGTGAAATTCAAGGAATCTGTTTATCCAAACAAAACTGGATCTTCATCATCTGAGTCCCATTACAACAACAACAAGAATCGCAATTCCTTTTTGGGAAATTGATGGGAACATCATCTGCTACCGAGGAGTTTCCCAAGAAAAGTGTAATCTCTAGACGAAGTCAACTCCCGAAGGATTTGATGTGAAGTCGACGATCAAAGGTTCGTGAACTTGTCTTCGTCATTGAGTAAACAAGAAGGTAATCGATAGAACAATCGCCGAGAATTGTTATAAAGATTCACCCAAATTTCTTCAGTGGTAATGAGTCCGAGAACATTGATTTGCTCTCACCAACTACCACCTACTAACCGTCGTCACCACCAACACTTACTCGCTTCTTTAGCATGCATTTCGAATATTTCACGCAATTTCCAAGAGATATGACTATGCCCGCCATTCCTAGGGAACGCATGTTGCAGAGTGGCATCGCCATTTCGGATTTACAGTTGGTCTTGACCAAACTTCCTCAAACTGAGATTTCTAAAAACATGTCGCTTCCAAGTAACACCGACTATGCCTGTCATTCCCAGAGAATGCACTTCACATGCATTCTTCACAAAGTTGAAAATATCGTCCAGAACAATCCACAAAACAAGGAAGTCGACATTCACAATTCGCACGAATGGCTTCTTGTATATCAACCAGAAGTGACAATTCAAACAGAGGAAGATTCGCCGACTGTCGAAAAATGGCACCAAATCTAGAAGTCCTGACATCCAAATGATGTCAACAAACCAACACTCTACGATAATGAGATCCTAAGTATGCTCTGAACAAACGCACTGCTGATACCCAATCTGACACGCCCCGAATCCCGATGTCCTAGGGACAAAGGGACACCCGAACACCCGAACGACGAAAGCCATTTATTGAGTGCAAATGCTGACAACAAGGGATAGAAGACTTATAAATATAAGAGATATAAAGAATATGTATTTAAGGAACGTGTTCAGAGCACACATCTAATCTAGAACATTTAAAATTAATTAATATAAAAAATTGAAATGAACACAGAAGTGGGTCCTACACCGAGAGGACTCGAAGATACCGATGCGGAAGTGCCTGGATGCCGGGATTGTATGCCTCGATCCTAAATCCTGAAAGGGGCGCAAAACAAACATGAGTGGACCAAGTTGATATATATATAGTAAAACAGTTATCAACGTACTAACCCCCAGGTTTTATGAAAACACATATATAATGATAACCATAGGTTTTCCGGAAACCTAGCATGATGTGCAGTGTCTCAAATCATAACTTGTATATATATAATAATCACTAGTGAATTGTCCGATAACCCCCAGGCCCCATGCCGGCTCCCCGTCTCTGAGCAGACAGTCAGAGGAAAATACACTTCAGGCCCCATGCCGGCTCCCCGTCCCTGTGCTAAATAGCCAGAGGAAACACACTCCAGGCCCTATGCCAACACCAAACCGTCGCCCGGGACGGACCGGAATCTATCCCTACGTCCCGTAGCGGAAAGGACTACTAGGTAAGTACAAAACCATTGAACATACATATATTGAAAAACAACTTCATAGTATAAAGTCATCCATCATCTATACTATAAAGAGGTGTTCGAAACATGTTCTAAATATCATATCGTCATCCATCAGATATTCTATAAGAACACGGGTTATAGGAAAATAGTAATAATTTAAAGTAGCCTCAATAAGCATGTTATCTCAAAACATTTCATAAAACGTAATCATTAAATCATGCCTTTCATGTATGCATTTCTACTATTAAAACATGCTTTTGAAGGGGTCCACTCACAGTACTTCGCCGTCGAAAAGTCACGCAGCTAGCGAAGACAGAAACGCCACTATAATTGCCCCTAAGCACATAAAGGGGTCTAATTAATAAAACTCTAGCATAACAATTGAATTTGAGAAAACGGACGTCGGAAACGGATTAGGACGTCGAATTACCCTAAGAAGGTTTCCGGATAAATTTCTTAAAAGTCCATAGAATATTCCTTGAATATTCCCTGACGGAATATTCCCCAAAAATGTTTGGATCGGTTAGGGTTTAGGGTTTTAGGACTTGGGTTAGGATTAGGTTAAGGGCTAAAAGGGTTTGGGTTTTAAAAGGAAAATGAGTTTGGATTTAAGGCTTTCACAAATGAGGCCCAAGGCCTTTTAAACAAATAATAACAATATACTAAAAACAAAATAAAATAAAAGGAGGTTGGGTTGGGTTTCTAGGTAAAGGGGTTTAGGTTGGTTTTGGGTTGGGCTCGGCAGAAAGGCCCAAAGGCCTTGGGTTGGTGGGTCGCCGGATTCAAAGGGAGGAGAAGGCCGGAATTCGGCCGGAAAACTACCCAACTTTAAACGGCCATAACTTTGTCACTACTCAACGAAATCAAGCGAGACAAAAATGAAAGTTGTAGCCCTGGAAGAGACGAAGAGAATGATACCTCACACGACGTCTAACTTGCCGTGGTTTGGCCGGAAATTGCCTCGAAAGCCTCGGAGGTCGCCGGAAACTGGGTAAGATTTCAAATGAGTATAACTTCTTCAATACTCAATGAAATTGAGTGAAACAAAAAGGAAAGTTATAGTACTCGACGAGACGAAGAGATTGATACCTTGCACGCCGGCCAACTCGTCGTGGTTTGGCCGGAAATTCTCTCGAAAGTCGTCGGAGATGGGTGTGCCTACACCCGGCTTCGATTTCGTCCTATAACCTCCAAAAATCACACAATAAACTCAATTCAAACTCAACCCACAAGATTCTTGGACGAAATAAGGGAGATTTGAGGCTTACCTCACCGGGAAAATAGGAACTCGCCGGAGTTCCTTTCCGGGTTTCCTGGGGTTGCAGCACGGGACAGAGAGGGAGAAGGACGAGATGGCGACGATGAGGGGTCTTCCTCGCGCAGGGGAGATGGGTGCGTGCGTGCGTTCGCGGTTGAGAAGAGAGATGAGGGAGCTGAGAGAGGTCCGAGAGAAGGGAGAGAAAGACATGACAGACAGAAAAAGAAGAAGAAGAAGGAAGGGGGGTTCACGGGGGGACAGAGAGAGAAGAAAGAGAAATTGTTTGGGGGGCTGCCACGTGGCAGATTTAGAAAGAAAAGGGATCCAATGCTTTGGATCCTGATTTGGTAGACAAAAAGATGAATGATAATATATATTTAAAACATTTAGGGGTAATTACAAACATAAATCTTTATAATTAGGGGGGCGGGTGTTACACATTTTCCTCCTCAACCTTGTCTGAGGTGGATGTCAACCCAAATCAAAGATTAAGCTCGGTCTTGTTAAATGAGTTTAATTACTTGCCTTGGTCGAGAGCAGTTGCCCTAGGTGGAAGGTCCAAGCTAGGGTTCATAAATGGAAGCATCAAAGCCCCTGATGCGTCCTCACCAACATATGAATCCTGGCTTTGCAAAGATCAGCTAGTTATGTCATGGCTCCTAAATTCCATGGAACGTAAAATAGCTGAAATATTCAGTTATTCTGAATCATCATTCAAGCTATGGGAAACAGTCAAGGAAATGTATGGCAGTCAGAACAATGATGCACGTGTGTTTCAATTGAAGAAGGACATTTCCAACCTACAACAAGAAGGAAAGCCCTTTGTTCAACTTCTAGGCAGCATGAAGAGCATGTGGAATGAGTTGGAAATGTATCGGCCTCATACAACTGAACCGTCCGTACTTCTGAAAAGGGCAGAAGAAGACAAGATATTCCAACTCTTGTCAAGTCTCGATTCTGGATACGAAGACCTGCGAAGCCACATACTCATGAACCCCGAACTACCTTCCTTCACCAGTGTATGTGCAACAATCCAACGTGAAGAAGTAAGAAGGAAATTCATGAACATTGGCACAAAGACCAGTGTAACTGAAGCAAGGGCTTACCTAACCAACGAAAGAAAATACAAAGCTGGTGGAATAACAACCAGCTAACACTAGCACTAAGCTGAGCTGTTATCCATCAAAAACTTAAACAAAGGGTTGCATTATTCTTCCAACATTGAACCCTACGAACCCTACTTGCATTATTCTTCCAATATTGAACCCTACTTCCAATAATTACAACACACATACATACATATTTATAGTGAGGTTTGCCGACTAACTAAGTCGGTTAACATGGCTTAAATTCATCCTAGCCACAAACTTAGTTATTCTAGATTATTCCAGCCTATTAAGTCGGTGGACTTGCTTTTCCACCCAAACACATATTCTTAATATGCATGCACCTTTTATACATGCATCACCATCCAAACAACTTGCTAGAATTATCTAGCATTTCCTAGCATGCATCGGCCACCTTCAATATTACTTGCTAGAATCTTCTAGCACAATCCCATGCATGTTTGAACTAGAACAATCTAGTTTCTTTATAGCGATTGATCTTAATGGACTGGTGTTGATCTTTAACAGATATTGGTGGATTAGATTGATTTCAAGCATACCGTTTACCAACATGCAACACTATGGCAAATTAATTTCTTAGACAACGGGCATGCAAAGGACAAGTGAGAAGCTTATATAGGTACAATGATCATAGTCAGATAACCACACGATGGCAAAAGAATAGTTTGTTAAGAAAAGAAGGACAACAATATATATCAAGCTAACATTTGGAGTCTATCACATACGAGAGAAAAATACAGACAGGAAGAGGCAAATACGTACATCCCTAGCATGCGCCTTGCAAACCAATAATGAGGTGAAAATGGTGATTATGAGTAATTTGAACTCTAAAGAAAATTTAAAGACATCCTAAATCTGTGGAAAACACAAAATACATGACAATCCGGATTTATATGCGAACTACATTAATGTGTAATTTAAGTTTAGTATAAAATTCCAACGTTTAGCTGAAGTTTCTAATAGGTCTAAAGGACTTACATTTCTTCAAATATGTGATATCGGAAGTTATTGTGAGAAGTTCACTTAAAGATAAGTAGAGACATAAGATAGTTGCATTGTGTTATCAACTTAAAACAAAAGATAAAGTCAGGAATTTTCAAATTCATCGCACAAAGCAACAAGTTCATATCAGAATATTGTTTATCAAATGGAAGCAGGCAGTCAATATTCAAGATTACAGGGCCGCCATATACAGAAATCAAATGATCATGAAACGGATTGAAGCAGTAAAACCGCCGGATTGAAGCAGATAGTGTTTACAAGGATAGTGGTTATTAGTTATTTCTAAGTAATGAGAAATCACCGATAATGGAAAGAAATTGTTAGCAGTTCCACATCGGTGGGGAAAGTCAACAAAAGTGGCTTTAAATATGATTACCCTATTCAAACTAATACCGAGGCTTTTGTAGTAAAACCTCACACCTAACAGATAAAGTTAGGGACAGTATCAGTATCGTTAGAATAGGGCCTTCCGAACTCGTCGATCTAAAAAAAATTTGAACATTGTATCATAATCCATGGTTACGGGCCCGTGCAAGCCAAAGGTTTGTCACCAAGAAATGTGGGCTTGGAAACAAGATTGGACTCTTAACATAGAGCCGGCCTCTAAGTTCTTAAGAGTCACTTCCTGAAAAAATTGAAAACAAATCTAGACTTCATTGGAGCCGACATCCGAGTTTCAATTGTCGATGTGTGGATCTTCACGTGTGAACCACTAAATGGGGTTACACGTGAGGGTGCGTGTTAGCAGTCCCACATCGGTGGGGGAAGTCAACAAGGGTGGCTTTAAATATGATTACTCTACTTTAACTAATATAGAGGCCTTTTGTGGTAAAACCTCACACTTAACGGATTGAACATGTGGTAAAGTTAGGGACAGTATTGGTGTCGTTAGAATGAGCCCCGGGCCAGTCGATGTAAAAAAATTCAACAGAAATGTGTAATAGAGCCATTGAGATCCATAATTGTTGATATCAAGTGAAAAGGTAAAGTTAAAAGGTACAGAGAGAGAGGATAGCGACACCATGCTAAAACGGAGACGTCGTACACTCATAACAATAGGATTGTTGACGAGATTAGTTAACAGACGTTATTATGGAGAAAACTATGTTAAAGTCCCACATTTACAACCATCACTCGTTTTGTCTAAACTCCCCCCCCCCCTCTCTCTCTCTCTCTCTCTTCTCTCTCTCTCTCTCTCTCCAAGCGTGTGTACGAGAAGCTGATACTTTCGAGAAAAAACAGTTGTCTTGTTGAATAACTACTTTGACAAGGCCACATGGACAACAAAAGCAGAAAACAAATAATGATTTACCAAGAACCACCACCATTGCTAAACTTCTCTTGAGTTCCACGAGGTAACAGAACTAACAAAAATTCTACTCTTGGTTATTCCTACACTTCCGTGAAGAAACAACCCTCCGCGCTCTACATAAATATGTAAGAGAAACACTTCAAAGACATACACATGTAAAAAAAGGAAGCACACCTTTTCAAAAACTTCATTGGTAGATACACACTCACACTTGCATTTTCACTTAAGAAATTAAAGCTTAGGAGAGAAGAGAGGTAGGACAGATGATCCTTGGGATTGCAGCGGTGATGCTTCAATGCGTGATTGAAGTAAGCATATCAATGCAGGACATGGAGATTGAACACAGGCCATACCACCGCAATTGCAGCTGCGCACTGCACAACTTGAAGGATATTTGCTGTTGCCCTCGGAAAACGAATATTTCATTCCCCAAGAAACAGTCTCGTTCTTCTCGGTGGCTGATCAGTATGGGACAAAAAAGACCCGAACGCGCTGTATCATGTCACGGACAAGATTCAGAGAGCGTAACACAGCAGAGCAAGAAGGAAAAGGTCAGCAGATGAGAAGTAATTCTTTCGTTTATTTGTTTCGCTCTATATCTAGACATACAGCTCTCCTAGAAAGCTTGAGATAAAATCGTCGAGAAAGAGGGCTTGTTGAACCCTCCCAACTTCCCCCCTTTTTTCTTTCTTGTAAACATCGTGTGCAGACTTTCTTTTACGCAACAAATTGCACAAGAAGGACACTGCTTCTGCATATATAGAAACCTACGTCTGAATACTTTTATGTCTCCTTTCCTAACTGTTCATCATATTGACCAAGGAAACCAGTCTCTTCTGTTTCAACTATTAAAATCTCTGTTTGCACTATAGACAGGTCAGGCCTGAGGTTCAAGGTTCAACTCCTACGCTGCAAAGGCAGAAGGATAATTCCAGGGAATGATGGGGGTCATATGTTTCTCAAATCACGTTTTCCACGTAAACGAACAGACTAGACACATAGATGATGCATGTTGGCGTAAAGCGTAGCATATATTACTAGCTGCATCTATACAGCTAAAGTCTAAAGACTCTACTCCAACTTGATATTAAAAAACTCTTCTCTTCAGGAGCCATGGAAGCTAAGCTTATTCTTAGTCATTTCTATCCCAGAGTGGGAGCGATAAGATGAATGTTTCAGTACCTATTTGAACTATCATCAACAAAGATAAAAGAAGAACGAAATAAATTTTCCACACCACGGGACTTGTTTCGCAGGATTCACACATTGATCAAATGAGCTTCCTGTCTGCTCGATTCATATCCTCCTCTAATCTGCATTCGGCAGTTCTGTGTCACCAAGTGCATGAAACATTAGTTCATCACTCAAAAAAATAATCATACATTTGGTGCATCACTCAAACAAATAATTATACATTTAGTTCAGCGCTAAGTAACCTCTGACAGTTGAGCAACTAACGACAGATAGGCTGGGGCGACAGACTGGAGTTGCAAAACGTCATCTGCCAGCTTAAAGCTCACCTGACAAAGGCAACCTTTTGGCTTTTTTTGGTAAGTGCTTATTTCTTTGAAACTTTCCTGGTCATGCACAAGATATTTTAGTTTGGATTCATACCAATATGTGATACAATTGGCAAAGGCAAAGATAACTTAATCACACACAAAAGCAAGATACAAGAATATTGGACTTACAGATCAGAAACCTTGAGTTAAACATAAGAAGGCTGAACTAAACATCTGAAGTGGATTCTTCGTAGTTTCTAGTTGAAGGTAGTTGCTTATGAGTTTAAAACAACGATGAAAACAAAGAACAATGAGGAATTAGTAAGGGATTTCAAGTAACAATGACAGTTGAAGGTACTCATGAACCCTACACAGGATATGCCTCAGATTTCCAATCTATGATTTCATTT